TGAGGGGGCAGGATGGAGAAGGGACATTGCTCATCTTTTAACAGTTTACTATTTTTTTTTTTTTGAGACAGAGTCTCACTCTGTTGCCCGGGTTAGAGTGCCGTGGCATCAGCCTAGCTCACAGCAACCTCAAACTCCTGGGCTCAAGCAATCCTACTGCCTCAGCCTCCCAAATAGCTGGGACTACAGGCATATACCCATATACCACTCACCCAGCTAACACACATATTTTCTCTACAAGGAATATCACATCCTTATTGAGCTTAGGAACATTAGACAGCACTTCAGCCCTAAGCTCGGGGATTGTTTAAACCAAAATCACCATCAAAAAGCACAAATATATGAAAAATGTAGCATTGCATAGACTAAAAAAGGACACCCGTTTACAGTACGAGAGCTGAAACAAAAAGGCAGAGTGCTTCTTGCTCCATCTCAGTTGGGAATATGTGTACGGGGCAACTCAAAATTGTCCACTGTTCTGTGCATGTCCATGAACGATCGCAAAGCACCGTCACTGATTTTGGGTTTACGAAAACAATTTATCGAGTAGGCAAATTCGCAAGTACAGAATCCATGAATAATGAGGATCAACTGTGTGTATATGCATAGAATGTTTTTAGAAAAATATACTAGACCAATTTTGGAAGAAGACACAAGAAACTGTTCCCGGAAGTTACTTCGGGAGAGTGGGATGGGAAAAAGGATTTTTATTTTATTCTTTGGATCTCACAAGTGAATACGCCATTTCTAATTTTAAAAATCTACAGTAAGGAGATGGGCTTTTCTACAGCTAAGCTCAGCACAACATGACGGACTTACTCTGGGGTAGGGGACTCTGCCTGCAGGAGGACCAGTGTCCAGAGAGGGGTCCTTTTCTGGCAGAAAGGCCACGCGACCACCCTCCTAGGGAGAAGGACGGGGTCAAGACGAAGGCCACCTGCAAAAACTGGAAGTCGGACCTTTACCCAAGAAACAGATGGCTTTGTCTGCCTCGTTTTCCACTGTTTCCACAGGTCAGAGGCAGTCGGCTGGGGCAGGATGGGGCTCTGAGGCCTGAGGAACTCAGCAGCGAGAAACCTTCTTTTCCCAGGGTGACAATGACAGAAAACAGAAGTTTGCAAAGAGAAGGTATGATGGAATTGGAATTAGATGGCGAGGAAAAGAACGAATGGAAAAGGGAGGAAGAGAAGGAATTTGGCAATTTTGTTTACTGGGCAGTTTATATGAATTTAATCTACAATTCACCTCCCCCGCCCAATGCAACTAAAAATAGGTTTATTTTCCCAATTATGAAAACACGAAAGTACATCTAAATCTGGAAGGACACACACCAAACTGAGGGAATGGGACTGTGAGTATAGGGGGAAACTACTTTTTTACACTAGGTGCTTCTGTATCTTTCGGATTATTATAATAAAAACGTATCTCACACTTCTTACATCATGATAACGTCTGACAGTTAAGGCCATGCTGCTCCCTAGCAAAAAGGGGGTGGCCCGGCCTCTCCTCATGCCTTTCTGGTGTTCTCTCCCACCTTTCTTCCCTCCCCAGGCCGGTCCACGCCCTGGGGCTACAGACTCAACAGTCCAGTCACTCTGGGCAGTAACCACCAGGCGAAAGCGAAACTTCAAGGTTTCTCAAAAAGTTCAACACAAAATGTTGTGTATGACCAACTGTCCAACTCCAGGGTGTATCCGAAAAGAACTAAAAATGGGTGTTCAAATAAAACTGGTACCCGAATGTTCACCGCAGCACTATTCACAATGGCCAAAAGGTGAAAATGACCCAAATACCCAACAACAGATGACTGGATAAACAAACTGTGGAATATACGATGGAAGATTACTCAGTCACAAAAAGGAATGAAGTTCTGATAGGTGCTATAACGTGGATGAACCTTGAAAACCTTATGTGACGTGAAAGAAGCTAGACACATGGACACGTATCATGTGATCCCTTCTATGTGAAATAGCCAGAATAGAGAAATCCACAGACAGAAAGCAGACTAGTGCTTGCCAGGGTTGGGGGGTTGCAAGGAATAGGAAGTGACTGCTTAATGGGAACAAAGGCTCCTTATAAGGTGATGAAAATGCTCTGGAACTACATAGAATAATGGTTGTACCACAGCGTGAACGTACTAAATGCCATTGAATTGTATACTTTAAAATGGTTAAAATGGTGAATTTTATGTTACAGTATGAATTTTACCTCAATGTCTTTTTGTTTTGTTTTTTTTAAAAAGCAAAACCCCAAGCTGTGTGACCTTGGCAAGTTCCTTGGCCTCTCTGAACTTATAAAATGGGCAGATGACAGCACAACCACAGAGGCTGGTCATGAGGATTCCATTTGATACGTGTAAAAGGGCTTGGCACAGGGTGAGGCACGGAGCAAGGGACCAGTAAGTAATGAAGCCACAGCCACTCACCTGTAAGTCATGGGTTTCCATGTTGTCAAATCATCCTTTTAATCAAATAATAAGAACAACAAAAAAAGATGGGGAAGGGGTGATATATAAGATGAAAGAATAAAGAAGAGGGTGGCTCAACTATATTTGCAGCATAGTTATATCCACACTATGTTTACATTCTATCCTGTGTTAAGGTAGGAGACACAAACAGTCACAGAGAGACAGGGGGGTGGCTTTGCCACATGTCCACTGTGGAATGACCTAAAAGCTCTCGCTGATTTTGCCTCCTTCCGTAGGCCTGCAGACATGGCCCTTTACTGATCCTGTTTTATGGGGGCAGAAGTATGTCGGTGAGAAGGTCTCATCTATGCAAAAGCGATTATCTGGAAGCAGATTTAAAAACCTGAGAACTGACAGGTGGGGACAAGAATTCCAGCTCTTGTTATTGCAGAATAATCTGGTGCCAGATTAGCAGAACTCCGAACTTCCTGAGGCAAGGTGACCCCCCACCCTCGTGGTTGACAGTGGCCTGGGGAGAGGGGAGGGAAGAATGAATAGGATTTCAGGCTGTCATGGAGACTTTTCTTCCCTCCGGCCTCCAGAGCATATGGCAGGTGTCCTGAAAAATCCTGCCGCCCCAGGCTGGCTGCTGCTCTCAGACATGTGGGTGGGGGCGTCTGCCTCTCCTTCTGAAAGGGCCCCTCCCTCCGCCAAGGCGACAGCAGCACAAAGGAGTCTCTAGTGTGTGCCTCACGTCCCAGCTCCCTAGACAGACGCTCGGGGAGGGCCTCCGTGGCCCCATGGAAATGTAAGTCCCCTGCCCCCAGGAGGCCTCGACGCAGCCCACAGATCACAGACAGCAGCAGGCCAGAGGCCACAGCGCAGATTTCTCCTGCGCCACCTGAAATGCCATGCCCAGTCTGCCCTCCGCTGATGGGGATGTCTCACAAGCCCTGCCGTCTCTTGCCAAGGCAAAGGGAGCTGCGTGTGGATTTGGGACACTGAAGTAGCTAACAGGCTAGACTCCCAGAAGGACTGGCTCCCACGTGTAACACGGGAACTCCAGCCAGCCCAAGGTAGGGAAAAATCAACTGTGAGGCTGTAAACCTAAAGCAGCCAGAGGGATTATAAACAATAGCAGGTAGAAGGTGCCAGCATGGAAAACCAGACAGAATTTTGAAAACTCTAAAGCTGGGCCTCTCGAACTGGGTGCTCGTGCCTATGGCGTTCACGGCAGCATGCCCGGAGTAGACAAAGCCACAGGAGAACGTGGGAGCCATGTTCCTGCGCCATCCGTGGGACTCAAGGATGCGGGGGAGGGGAAATGTATGATAAAATAGGACAATAGCGTATCATGGAGGAGAATGTAAAATCTGATTGAACTTTAAGGATAAAATACTAAATGTCAAAGACATGTCCTAATTGCATCCGGCCACTTTGAGCCCGAGGCCGCTGGGGCGTTGCATTCCTCTGCATTAAGGGTAACCTGGAGAAGCGTAGAAGCCCAGTTCTAAAGGAACCCTTCATTTCATCTATTCCAAAATATTTTTTTGAGGTCTCGCTACATGCCAAGCTGCTTTCCCTCCCTGAAACTCACTGTCCAGTAGGGGCAGTGGGTGTTAATTCAAAGCACACGATGCCTTAGGGTCTATATATCAGCAGGACCTCCCCTGCCCAGGGGGTGGGGGAAGGTTTTCACCACGGGGATACAGAGACTGAGTGACATTTAACCAGAACCAGGTGGGCAGGGGAAGGGAATGGGGAGCAATCCAGCCAGAGGGAACAGCATGTGCAAAGTTCTGAGACAAGACGGGGCTTCGCCAGTGTGGCTGGAACCCAGGGAGTGAAGAGGAGAAAGGCACGAGGTCAGAGAGGCAGGGACTTGAGGGGTGGTCTTTATCCTAAGACTGTTGGTAAACTATGGGACAACCTTAAGTGGCAGGGTGGCATGGCAGAACTGCATTTTAAGATCATCCCAGCATTAGCAAATTAACACAGTAATTCCTACCAAGGTGGACAGACAGATGCTGTGCTTTGACTGAGGCCTCTTTGGAAGACGCAAACCCCAAGTGGGCCAAGCCTAGGCCTGGTGACCACATAATGGGTCCTGCTTAGGTCCAAATCAAGCAGTCACATTTCTAAACACCTCTAAGAACAGTGGTTGCTAGGGTTCCCCACCCAGCACATTCAGAGCCCTCAGACCAGAAGGGAGGAGACTTGGGGTTAATGAACAGCACAGGTTCTGGCATCATGCAGTTCTGGTCTCTAATTTTGTCTGCCATATACTATCTGGGCAACCCAAAGCAAGTTTCTTAACCTCTCTGTGCCTTGGTAAAATGCGGTGCTAAGAGTATCTGTCTCCAAGGGCCACTGTGTGGATTAAGTAAGAGGGAGCTGCTGAAATCCTATCACTTAGCCAGTACATCATAGATGCTAAAAAATGTTGATGATTATCAATATAGTTCACACTTCACGAAGGGCGAATACGGAAGACCGGCAAAGACCACCGAAATGTAAAACGATACGGGAGCAGCAGGCCTGCTGAGGGGGAGGAGACAGCACAGCGCGGAGGAAGAAGGGGGCTTTCACTTACTTGCGAGCAGGAGGCAGGAGACAGCCACGGTGTACAGCTGCTTGGAGGTGGTGATGTTATAGCGGTCCATGAAGTGGTCCAGCAGGTAGACGGCCAGGTGCCGGGCGGCAGGGCACAGCTGGCAGTGGCTGCTCAGCAGGGTCAGGGTGTCGACAAAGAACCGGCGGCTCTTCAGGAGCGGGGAGTGGGCTCGGAAGGTGGGCAGCTTCAGTTCCTGGAGGACAAGTGGGGCAGAAGGGGGGTCAGAGGTGCTTCCCAAGAGCCTGGGATGCCCCAGGATATTGAGACCTCGGGGCCTGGCTGCTGACTGGTTGGGGGGCAACCATTCCCTCCAGACCCGTGTTCGTTCTCCTGCAAGTCCCAGGATGGCAGCCCCTCTGTTCCAGAAACTCCTAGGCTGTCTCCCATCCACATTCACTAAGCAGAGCCTCATAAACTATCAGGGACCTACAGGATGACAGAGGAAGCCAGCCATTCCCAGGGGAAAAGTCTGCGACTTGAGATACACGAGGCGGTAAAGGAATGAAGGCCTTCAGGTCAGAGGCCCACATTCCAATACTTGTTCTACTACTCAGCCGAGTTGTGCGACCCTGGTCACCCGCCATCACCTTTGTTTCCTCCTCAATAGCTGAGGATTAAAAGAAAAATGTACGTGAAACACCCAGTACACAGTGGCCTCTCAGGGTCCACAGCTCAGGGGGAGAGTTTCAGTTTGTAACGTATACACTGCCATGTTACCCAAATTTATTTGTCTAACTCAAGAAAAACCAACAAAAGAAGTAACAAACCAACAAAGATTTTTATGACAGAAAAAATGTTCTTACATACAGTACCGACCATATTTACCGTTTAACCAAAGTAGATTAGATACTATTGATTTAGGAAATGTTATAGCGACATTTTGTTAAATAGGGACGCTAGAGAGAAGCAAAATTGAAGGAAAGTAGGAAAGAAGTTGGCAAAAAAGGAATGTGACAACTCACTAATGGCAGGTTCATGGGGGGGAACAAGATTGAAACAACTTGGTGTCTCTCTTCTGTGTGATGCCTCTCTCTTAACCCTGGGGCTTACCTAAACAGCAACAGATCTAGGACTAGAAGGAGGTATCTGTTTGTTCATTCATTCACTCAAGAGATGTTAATTCATTCATTACACTCAGTAAATATCAAGTACCTTCTATGCATTAGGCAGTATTCTAGGCACTGGAGATGCAATCTGGAATAAGATAAACACAGACCTAGAAGCAAGACGTAAAACTATAAAACTCTTAGAAGAAAACAGAAGTAAATCTTCATGACCTTAGATTAGGCAATGGTTTCTTAGATATGACACCCAAAGCAGAAGCAACCAAAGGAAAAAAAAAATACACAAGCTGGATTTCAAAATTAAATACTTTCATGCTTCAAAAAACACCATCTAGAAGGTGAAAAGACAACCCACAGAATGGGAGAAAATATTTGAAAATAACATGCCAATAAGACGCTGTATCCAGAATGTATAAAAAAACTCTTACAACTCAACAATAAAAAGACAAACAACCCAATTTAAAAGTGGGCAGTGAATTGAATAGATATTTCTTCAATGAGGGTATGAAAATGGCCAAAAAGCACGTGAAAAGATGTTCAATGTTACTAATCATTAGGGAAACACGAATCAAAATCACAGTAAGATCCCACCTCACACCCATTGGTATGGTTATTTTAAAAATCAACACAAAACTGAAAATAAACAAGTGTTGGTGAAGATGTGGGCAAACTAGAATCCTCCTATACTGTTGGTGGGAAAGTAGTGCAGACTGTGGGAAACAGAATGGCGGCTCATCAAAATCTAAACATAGAGTTATCAGACGACCCTGCAATTCTAATCCTTCGTATGTATCTAAGAGAAACGAAAACATATGGCTGTACAGAAACTTGGACATGAATATTCATAGTAGCATTATTTATAAGAGCCCAGGACAGGTGTGGTGGCTCATGCCTGTAATCCTAGCACTCTGGGAGGCCGAGACCGGAGGATCGCTCGAGGTCAGGAGTTCGAGACCACCCTGAGCAAAGAGTGAGATCCTGTCTCTACTAAAAATACATAGAAATTAGCTGGACAACTAAAAATATATAGAAAAAATTAGCTGGGCATGGTGGCGCGTGCCTGTAGTCCCAGCTACTCGGGAGGCTGAGGCAGTAGGATTGCTTGAGCCCAGGAGTTTGAGGTTGCTGTGAGCTAGGCTGACGCCACGGCACTCTAGCCCGGACAGCAGAGTGAGACTCTGTCTCAACAACAAAAAAAGCCAGTTATGAAAAGTCACATGTCATACAACTTCATTGATATGAAACGTCCAGAACAGGCAAATCCATACAAGCAGAAAGTAGATTAGCGGTGGCCAGGGCAGGAGTTAAAGGGGCGTAACTGCTGACAGGTGTGGGGTTTCTTTTTAGCGTTATAAAGCTGTTCTGAGATTAGATAATGGTGACAGTTGTACAACTGTGAATACACTAAGAACAAGTGAATTGTACACTTTAAAAAGGTGAAATTTTATGTTATGTGAATCATTTTAGCTCAATAAAGCTGCTATAAAAAAATAAGATAGACACATTATCCACGCTCATGGAGCCTGCAGTCCGGTAAAGGAGAGAGATGGCAATCAAATAAAAAGGCAGCTCCAGGACTCCACGCTGTGCTGAGCACTCCAAGGGAAAGCCACAAATGCCAGGAGAGCCCCCCCTTCTCTGCAGGGAGGAGGCCTGTCTTCCCAAAGTGAAGCCTGAGCTAAGATTTCACACTGATTCCTTCTCCTCTGGCCTGTCCCCCAGAGAGCCCAGAGGCCAGGACTCAGCTATCTTTGCAGGCCTAGAGCTTTGCTCGTGGAAGATGCTCAAAGCCTAAATAAATCATTTCTTCTCCTTTGCGTTTATATACAAAGAAACTGCATTTGAAAAAGTCCCCTAACCCCAGGGCTTTATTTAACCAGCAACAGATCTGAACTAGACTTTCAATGTTTCCTTTTTTCCAACCTTTTTTTGTAAGTGCTGGAGATCTTTTATCCCTAGCTTAACTTCTTCAAGGAAAAGACCTGACGTCTTGATGAATCTATGTGGCCACGTGGGAGCTCAAACTCCCCGAGGGCAGGTCTGGGACTGCTTTTGCTCATCACTGTCCTCAACTCCCCACTGTGACTGGAACAGGGTCAGGTGCCCAATAACTAGCTGTTGAAAGAATGAAGGGAGGGAGGGAGAGACAGGGAAGAATCGCGGTGGTGGGTACAGAAGGCCGGGGGCCTCCAAAAGGAAGGTGTGGCCAATGACCAACTCCATAGCGCAGCAGGTCTGCGGAGACTTCAAAGAGGAGAGATCGAGCCAAGTTTTGAAAGGACATCTAGCAGTTTACCTGTTGAAGATGCAGGAAGGGAAGGATGCTCAACAGGAGAAACGGCACCTGCAAAGCCACATCTGTGTCCCATCTGGGGAATCTGGAGCAGCTGGAACAGCCAGACAGGCAGAGTGTGCCTAGATAAAGCAGGCTGGAAAAGCGGGCAGGGTCCCAGCTTGTATGCCTTGCTAAAATAACTGCCCTGCCCTGAGGGCAGTGGGGAGCCACCGAAGGATTTAGAGCATGGCATCAGCCTGGCCCGAGCAGCCCTGCATGAAGATCTCTCCACCAGCCTCTTCCCAGGCTAAGGCCAGATGGCCGGTGGCAGCAGCCAGTGTGTGGCTGCAGCTCCCCCAACAGCGCTCCCGCCTTCCAACGGCCTCCAAGAGCTTGCAGGCCCCTTGGGTATTTCCTCTAAGCACAGGGCTCTAAGTTCAGGGTCATGACAAGAAGTACCACAATCATAGATCCTCAGTGTCTGGTAGGCTGCAAATGCCGGAAATCAGCCTTAACCTTGTGATGTTTGGCCAAGCCGCGCTGCCCTTATTAATGCCGCCAAACACCCAAAACACAAGTCAGAAAGGCAATGTCCTGACTTCCCACCCCACTCAACTCTGCCGTGCTCAATGCCTTTTAGATTTTTCCCTTGAGCCAAGCGAGAGAAGAGAGCTCAGGGCAACACATTATGTCCTTCCTGTACACTTTTCTGGGAAAAGGGTCCTTTGCCTTGAGCAATTTCTCCAAGGAAGCCATGGGTGCATAAAAGAGAAAGCTACAGACCATTGGAATGGGCAGCAATACGGGTTAGGAGGAGTTAGCAGGTAAAGCTTTCTGGAAGAGGCTAGTCTCAGGAGGGCAGGACTTCGAAAGCGAGAAATCAGCTCCCTGGGATGCTTTTCAATCTATTTCTGCTTGTCCTATAAATATTGGTTTAAATGTCACATGCTAAGAAAGTCCTTCTCTGACTTCCCCATCGTTTCAAATCAGGTTCCCCTTACCTCTAACGTCTGTTCTTCGTAGCCAAAAATCTACTTATTTATGTGTCTCTTCCTGTTAAAGTCCAGATTCCAGAAAGCCGGGGCCAGGTGTTTTACCCACACCTTGCGCCCAGGGCCCGGTTTCTGTGCCAGCGTGATGGCTGGCACAGAAAGAAGTGTTCAAATAGTATCTGTTGAGTAAGAAAGAATGAGTACAAAGATGTCCTTCCCTGTGCCAAAACCCCCTGCCCCTGCATATGGGGGAGCAGCTTGACACAGATTGTGAGGTCGGGCAGTTCTAGGTTGGAATCTCAGTTCCACTAACCTTGGGCATGTGAATGGACCCTCCGTGTCCTCATCTGAGAAATGGGGATCACACTGCCATAAATGTAGAGTAACTGCAGCTCAGCAAGCATAGGGCCCTTCCCCTTCCCTCAAGCTGGGTAATCGAACCCCAGATAAGTTGAGTTTCTCTACCTCTGTCAAAGGCCCTTTGAGCATTCAGCGGAACCTGCTTTGAGTAACAAGGAACGAAGCTTTCCACGTTAGGGCTTTTTTTTTTTTTTTCGACACAGAGTCTTGCTCTGTCACCCCAGGTAGTATGCAGTGGTATCATCATAGCTCATTGCAACCTCCAACTCCTGTGCCCAAGGGATCCTCCTGCCTCAGCCTCCCAAGTAGCTGGGACTCTAGGCATACACCACCACCCCAGATAATTTTTCTATTTTTAGTAGAGACAGGGTCTCGCTCTTGCTCAGGCTGGTCTTGAACTCCTGAGCTCAAGCAATCCTTCCGCCTCAGCCTCCCAGAGTGCTAGGATTACAGGCATGAGCCGCCACTCCTGGCCTCACCCTAGGGCTTGTTGACAGCTGAG